TTTCCTACAAATATTTCCTTTGGGGCCATGACAGCCATTTCCTGCCCTTTCATCTTCCTCTCCTCCTTCTCCCTAGTGATTGAACTATTAGCCTCATGTACCTGTGACAGTTTGAATACTAGCTACTTATGGGAGAACCAAAGGGCTAAGCACATGAAGGAATAAAGGATATAATGCAATTGTGGGTACCATTCCCAGACATGAAAGACAAAATGTAATACCAGTAAACCAAAAAAGAAAAAAACACTAATACCATATTTCAAAATGTTTAACATACATAGACAAAATTTGCAGCTCCGTAATTTTCTACCTTAGGCTAAAGTAACAGAGAATAGGGGTACTGACAGCCGTCAAGAGAGGTTGTGCAGAAAGGGCTGAATTCATAGCAGCCCTGTAGGCAAGGGAGGATTTAACTATGTGCTTAACTCTCAGGCTTAAGCACATGTTCAGATCCCAGAGACTTTAATAAAAATGGAATCGTTGCTTAAATGTGTTACTGATGGAGATACATGGTGGAAGCAAAGGAATGAAACAATAATGTTAACTACACACAATGCTATTATTCCTCAAAATTTGACTTCTGTCTGGCACGTGTGCTCTTGGAGAGCTAGCCTAAGCCCTCCTCCTGCCTCCCAATTTGAGTGATAGAAAGAGATCTTCTTGATGGATTGTTTCAATCCCTTGTTTTCAATACATTCTGCAAGGGCCCTAATTCTTCATTTTACTTCTGATCACTAAGATGCACAGGAGTAAGTTCTGCGCTCTCTACCTAGGCAACATTCCTTGAAGTCTGTGAGTATTTGGATTGGGCCCATCCTAGTCACCTGGGCATGCATTAGTCTCCCAGAAAAAAAAGAGACCTTTAAAATGCTTAGATGTTCTGGCATAATTATTCCCAACTGTTGTTTCATTTTGTCCATGTGTCTCACAACAGATTTTTTAGTTACTTCTGTGTGCAACTCACGTACTGTGTTGCCACAGTTCATGCAAGTAAATCCCAAGATCTCCATCTTAGGGCAATTAACTTATTTAATCAAACTCAGAAAAATAGAACAAAATGATCGTTCCCAGTTCTGCAGCTTCCCAGTTCAAATCCAAGTAGAACTACTAAAATAGAACAAAATGTGTATTTTGTCTTTGTTCCTGTGCATTCATACGCTCTACACAAAAACCCTTGGAGGAATTTCAAGTAAGTGATTGCTGGTAATCATTTTGTTTAAATGTGCAAGGTTGCACAGGACCTCTGTCTACTAGGAAACAGAATGTTCTCACTCAATTATATTAGCAATCATTATTTCAGTAGTGGAAACTTCCACAGTAAATAATACAGACTTTATATCGTATTTAAGAAGAAAAAGTGCACCTCTTTGAAATCACTAGGGATAAAAACAGTCAGGCTAGGGAAGATTTTCTCTTTACTCTCAGCGAGTAAAATTAAGCTATGGTTATTTTGGCCATATCACTGTGGTACCCTATGGAAAAAGTGAAAAAAAAAAAACACCCTACTATTTTGAGTTGGATGTTGAGGGAAAAAACTTCAGGAGATTCTTGCAGTCATTATGCTCATGTGTAATGCCATTTTCACATATATGTGTATATTTTAATGACAAAGTAAAGGCACATATTTTCTAAGGGGCTTTTTGTTTTTACTTAGCAAGCATTTCCTTACCATAGGCGTGACATAGTGTGATTGCCACAGAAATAGCAAGAGACTGTAAGCATTTATTATACAGAGAAATTCTATAGAAGGTCATTGATGATATAGCCCTGTCAATTCTCTTCAGAGCTCAGGTAGGGTTATTTATAATCAATGTTGTTGTTTAATCTTGTTAAATTCTTTTTTTCTCTCTGCAATTTATTTGTAAAATGGTATCCTTGCAGCTAGAATCTGGTGACAGTTATACTTACATAAGTCTGAAATTAGAAATTTGATTCTGATAAATAATTCAAATTTTGGCTTCTAATTTCAAATAAATGATCGAAATTAACAGATACTTGTTATTCTTCACAGCTATATATATCAATCCTATTTTCCATTTTGTTCCTAGTTCCTGAGTACTGTGAAACAAAAATACCATAAATATTAGAAAGAATATTATGCATTTTGTAACCCTCTTGCACCGCAAGTCTGCTTTCTCCCTGTGTAGGTTATTGTTCTGCTTGACATCTATGTCACACTCAACATCATGTATGTTTTCTCAAACCGCCAAGGGAGGGGAGAAAAGAGAATTGTCTTCCAAAATAGTATGGAACTAATTATAGTGAATAGGTATCTGTATTATTGTAAGGGACCTAGCAGATTGAAGAAGCGTGGCAATAAACTCTTTCTGTCATGCCCACAGTCTCACAGCTCCACATTTATTAAGCTGACCCTCAGTTTTGAGGCTAGAACCTGGGCCTACTTGAAGGAAAGGGAAATGCTAGTATTTCTTTCCAGTAGAAGACGAAGATTGGAAACCTGAACAAAATGAATGAATTCCAGTCAATGTTCTGTGGTTTATTTAAAGCACTTTTTTTGCTATTAAGTGAATAAAGTTCATGCCAAAAAGAACCTCCAAATTTGTTCAGTTGGCATATTAAGAGGAAGTGTTTCTGACAATCTTTTAAATTCCCCCTTGTGAAAGGATCAGGCTAATTTGTTTACTTTTCTTCTGATGTCATTCCTAGAAGAGTGAACCTCTTCTTACATCTGTGTCCAGTGGATTTACAGAGACATATGAGCAGGATTTGAAGTTCATATAATTGTGTAGGAATAATTGAAGCGCAGCCCGTGTCCTGTCCTCCACACTGGCAACAGAGCTGCAATGCTGTACAAGAAGAGGCTGGCACTTTCCCCGAGGAGAACCAACTTTTGTCAGCTAGTCACAAGGCACTTTCTGATGTTACTTTTTAAAAGAAAGATTCACAGAAAATAGGACTAGATTTAGTGTCTGTCTTACTAAGACTTCCAAAGGTAGAGATATGGTCCAGAATACATAAATATATTCAAGGTGTGCTGAATACAGCAGACTTCATTTTACATAGACACTTAACTACTATTCTGTTGCCCTCTAGGGAAGTATTTGGTGACTGGATGTACTGTGTCTAGCCCCATCGGAATATGGTCTCTTGGAATTACTGCAATATGAATAATAAGTTGAAAGAAGTGCCGTGCAACATCTGTTCTTTTTTCCAAGCATGTTCGCACATGACTACAAAACTTTTGTGGGTACCCATTCCATCTGCTCACAAAGAAAGAGAGCCACAAATGACTTGGGCTATTCATGAGACAGAGTGGAGAACATGAAGTAGAAGAAAATAATATGTCACATTGATCTACCTGCATGTGTGTGCGTGCATGTGTGTGTGTATGTATGTACGTATGTATGTATTGCTCTGCTTTCTTTGTCTTTGAGGATTACATGTAGTTGAAGGTTTCTCCAGAGGATGGAAGGAATTTTAAAAAATTTTGAGAAGCTTATATTTATTTATATTTATTTATTTTATTCACTTTATGTGAAAGTCACTGATGCCCTTGTTTAGAGTTAGTATTTCAGTACAGAGCATATGTAAAATAATCCTGCATGTTTAATTATTTGTTTCAAAATTAACAAAAAGTATCTCTGACATTTTTGAAAATTTAGGCCAGATAGTCAGTAGGTATTAATTGCTGTAGCTTTGATGATAGCAGTGAAGCAATGACAATGTAGAGTAGCTTTGAATTTTCTCACCTGGCTCAGCTTTAATTCATCCTGCAGTTTATGAGAGAGATGAGACTGCTGTCAATTCATTTGGACATACACTACCAATCAATCATATGAATACAACGGCTTCAGAGGTAGCAGTATCTACCAGACATACTTGAATGTGTTGCAGAATATTACAAAGATCAAATCCAGATGCAGTATGGCAGAAAGAAATAATCAATATTAAAGTTTTACAGTTGCCTGCTGTAAGAGAAGATCAGGGAAAGAAGAGGGCGCATCTACAGCGTCAAATGCTTGTGGTTAACTTGCCAGGTCCATGTTGCATTAGAAAAATAGTAGGGGAAACGAATATTTCAACCTCTCACATCACTGTGGCCCCCAAAACAACTAAATATTCCCTTTTGCCTTTTATTCCTAAGATCCTTAGCTGATAGCCTAGAATATTGTAAAAAAAATTGACAGTCAGTGTTACAGAGAGAATACCTCTCTTCAGAATCAAACAGAGATAGCAGAAAATGTGGGGAGGGAGGAATATTTATGGGGGTGGGGGGGGAAGGTCCTTTTTTGATTAGCATAACCCTTTTTATTTTAGGGGAATTATGCTGATTGATGGTAATTTGCAGTAGAAATCAACTCTGAGACTATACTGGGGGAGAGCAGGGGCGCGTGCTTTGTGGTTCTTTGTGTAATCCTGGCCCCTGCCTGTACCCATCAAGAGTCTGTTGGAGTGCACCAAAGCGCTCGATCCCTTCCCTTGGGTCTCTGGGTTTCCTTTGGAAGGGAGCTAAGATTTGGGGGGAAAGATATACAACCCCTCTGATCCTGGCATGGAGTTAGGGTGCAGCCCAAGCACATGCAGCAGGCAGGTTTGCAGGCTTACCAAGCAAAATCTTTGCTCCATAGTGTAGACTATGTGGGTATGTTCCTTGGTTTAGTGCTGTTTACGACTCAGAAATTAAAACTAAATGTGTCCAATCTCCTCATGTAGAACATGAGAGGAAAGTGATAACTTGCATTCAGTGCACTAGCATGATATATGGTAGAGAACTATATATGGTGAAATTTGCTCAGTCCAAAACCATCCTCTTTCCATCTTATTTTGCATTAAGAAGGAGAGCTCACTTTATAAAACGTTGAAGCAAGTGTGCTGTGAGACACCATGGCATAAATGTGGCGTATTGGACCATACCACCTGTGCCATTCAGCAGTAGTCACTGTGTGTTTTTCCAGCTCAGGAGAACTGTGAATTAAGGCCATCCCTGGTCCTCAACACAATTTTTAATATGTATTTCTTTCTTTATCTCCTTTATTTAGCCTAAAGCATACAGTGTCCAGCAGGGCTTTAAGGAAGAAGACGACAGGCACAGAAGACCATGTGTCCGATGGAGAAGTCCTCCTTAATTTTGATCTGATACCTCTGGTACCGTCTAACCATTTTTAAAGTCAGAAGCAACCAGCAAAGTTGAGAATAGTCACGTAAGGCAGCAGAGCTTCCAGAGGTGGGACCAAATCTTTGGTTTATTACTTATTTTGTTAATTAGTTATTTATTTCGATGCAGCACCCACTGAGTCGCACCTGAGACTATTAAAGGAATTAAAGAGAATAAAATAGCTTTAGTCACAGAATAAGCATAGCAGAGGTTATAGTGATACTGAATTAAAGGTTTGAGAAAGTGAATGGATTGTGAGTGGTGCCCAGAACAGCATGAATAAAATGAAAGGAGAGATCCACGGGGGAAGACTCTTGCCTACAGACGTTCCCTGCCGCCTCGCTAGGGAAAGCCTCAGGAGGAGTCAGTGGAACTGCGACGCAGCAGTTCTTGGTGTTGTGAAGAACTCAGGGAAAGTCACTGCAGTGACGACCTGGACTCTAAGTATCACCATAAGAAGTATGCTATATGGGAAATGGAAGCAAATGTGAGTCAAGGCTCAATGAAAAACTACTGTCATAAAATGTATGTGCAGCAACGGAAGCTAGCTGAAAAATGGGGAGGAATGCCTATAGAACCATATACTTTATTTGTGTGGATAATTTTCAGAAACAGAAATGTTTCAATGCCTTGAATAGCAGTTTATCTCTCTGGATTCTGTATGTAGCTGAACATCTCTTCTGAAAAATCAAAATTACTTCACCCGTTTCAAGCATGGATTAGCCACCACAGATCATCAATTGCATGTATTTGCTGTGAATATAGGTCTGAAGTTAGTCAGAAAAATGGAAAATGAAATGAAATGAAATGCAAGAAGAGAGTAGAGAGGGGAAGGGAAGAGAAGGGAAGGGAAGGGAAACCCAAAACTCAGAACATAGGTTTTCCTGAATCAGCATCTTCTTGGTGTTTTCCGCTAAACAAAGGGGCAAAGCTGGAACAGTATTCACAATGCACATAGGTCAGGTGAAATGAGCAGAAAAAAAAAAGAATCCAAAAAACTGGTGTATTCCCATCATTACCATCATCCTTGCCACTGGTCAAAATGTCCTTGTTGGACTCTTGCTATCAGCAAAGCTTTGACCATTCTCAGTAATGACAAAATATAATGGCTGTGAGAAGGAAAACTGAGTGAATTTCTCAAACTAATTACAACAGTTCCCCTATATTTATGTCAGAATGCAGACAGTAACAAGTTCTACCTTATGTGGTCAAAGCTTTAAAATACAAAAGTTGTTATGCCGAAATCAACTTTAATCAAAATGAATTTATTATCACCAGGCTGATTGTCCCTGCACCCTCCTATCTGTAAGGTGTCAGTTATGCATAACTCATTGTGATTGGTGAAAAGGAAGCAAAGGAAACATAAATGTCAGTTTGTCACTCTTTCTTGAGGGACGATAGTTTTGCAGCAGCAGTAACCAACCTCAGTGATGATTTGATGGGTGTTTAAACAGTTTTTCTGGCCTTCGAGAATCAACACGTGTTGGCTATCACTGATCTTAGGGGATATAATAATTTTTAAAAATCACTTTTTCCATATCTATAGGAATTGGGAAGTTCCTCTGGGGTAGAGTAGTCATTGTCTGACGGAGACAAAGGCACAGTTCTTCTGTCCCTGATTCCCACTTCATTTTAGCTGCCTTTGTAAATGAGTCCAAACAACAGGGGATATCCCTGTTATTAGCAAATGATTTACAAGGACAATGAGCAGTGTATGGGTGAAAGCAAACCTGTGCACCAGGAAAGCTGACAGGATATGGTCAGAAGCTTGGAGTGATATATTTGCTATCTTAATTTTATCTTCGAATTCACAGGTCAGTATTAATTTACAAGAATAAAATACCTTCAACATGCAGTTTTATGTTGGTCTGTCCTTGCTTAGGTTAGCTATAGGTATGTATGTATGTATATGTATATCTATGTACATATATATTTTTTTAATACAGTTTGGATTCATCTCTTAATGTAAACAACATGTGGAAACACTTTTCCATAAAATTTACTTCAGTCTGTATACTTACTACAATGTCTAAAAAGGTACGGTAGAATACAGAAATGAAATATGCTGACACGTTATGTATGTGCATGTTGTTTACTTTATAATCCACAAAGCAAGCTCCTTCCCAAGCTTGTAGGAAGGCTGAAGTTTTCAGATGGAATTGATAAGGCAATGGGAATGATCAGCCGCTGTGGCTCTGAGGGTGCTTGGCACTTCTTTGTATTTAGCATTAAACTTCCTGTCCACCCACCCTCCCCCATCATTCAAGCCCTTATTTTTGGATTGTAGGAGGTTGCATTTCACTGGGTACTCGTGCTACCTCACCACTGCTGAGGAGAACAAATGGCATCCCAGCCTGTAAAACTGTACTTCCTAGCAACATGTTTGAAACTACAGCTGCCTGATATGGCTAATGAATTTTACAATCAAAAGCTAAAGTGAATTAGCTGTAGCAGATGTTTTTACTCTGGGAACTACCAGACCTTTCTGGCCGCTCATTTATCCTTCAAGAGGATAAAACTCTGCACTTCTATTATGTGTTGTCATTGGAGCATTGCACAACTTTATCAAACTTTTTATTCTGGAAACTGAATTAATTTTCTGCAAGGGGTTTTTTGTGTGGCTCTTTAATCACATTTACTGGGGAACATGTGTACTGTAAAGTTGGAGAGCCGATTATGGCTTCTAGAAAGGCCACTTTCAAAAGGAAACTGCCCTCACTCCTGAGGCCTCCATTTGAAGGTCCTTGGGTTTTGTGAAGAGGAAAAAATTAATTACTATTTTAATAACGAAGCCAAGCCTGCTGAAAATCCTCTTAGAGAGTAGCTGGATGATGTAATGGCTAGCAGGAGGGATATTGAAAACAGTGACCACACAGCCTGCCCTTCACTTTCTATTCACTCTCTGTAAGATGATACGGGCTGCTGGGTCACACATTAGGGAATTAAAAACATAGCACTGCTTGCTTGGAGGGAAGGGAGAGAGGTGATACAAAGATAGCAGGTCATTTGAAAATTAACATCTGCCTTAACCTTCCACATAAGTTAACTGTGAAGTTGTGGTTGGGAACACACTTGTACTGCTGACCCTGCCCTGCCTTGCAGATCTAAACCATTTGTTAGTAGCCTCAAGAGAAGGCAGGGGAATGAAGCATGAATGGAGACATGATTTGCTAGTTTTAGGGAGTACACAGGCTGGCCAAAGGGTGCGTGAAACGGGCAGTTGGATGTTGTATAAATCCCAGTCTTGGAACTCCCTTGAAATAGCTACTCAGTAGAATCTAACACTTTGGGAATATGTTTTCATCCACCCTCTAAGATAGAAAGCAAATGAAGTTTTCCTAAGGGAAGCACAGCAGAAGCAGAAGTTTCATCATTATGCTACGGTAATTATACCCTTGCCTTGCATTTTAGAGGCACCCTGATCGTGCCTGTGGCCTTTTAATGCGTGGGAAGCTTGATTCTCAATCCATTCCTTGCTATGGAAAAACCCTAAATTCTTCCCCCCTCCCCTAACACATCAAGCTCAATGGTATCAGGAATGCAAGTAAAGCACTAACAGGTCAGGTTTACTCAGCTTCCCTAAAATGGGAGCTTGAAGTCGAATGTCTGATTAGAACATTTGAAAAATCAAATGTCCATGAATTCAAAGCTGATTTAACAGGAAAATACTTCTCCTATCTTCTTCAGGCAGAAACACGCAGCAAAATAACAACTGGTTGCATTTGTCCCCTTCTTAGAAAAGCTCGTACACTCCCAAGACTCCTGCTAGCAATTTACTATTCAAAGACAAAATTGTCCCTCGTGTAAGATGACAGAAGTCAATGGAGTTAATCCAGGGATGCGGAGCCATCAACACAACTCCTTAATGGACCAGAGGAATTTCTTCTGAGTGATGTGAGGCACTTTTCTGTCTCTCAGATCTGAGGGTGCTGTCTCTTCAGGGCTCCTTGTGTCTTCCTCCCTGGAGACCTAGAAACACTGTTGAACCCAAGGCTCCTGCTGGGACATTGAAGGAAGTAGTGGCTTACCTGTGAGCCTGAACCTGAATTAGAGCACTTTATGGGCTTTAAAAGCATCAGAGAAAGTGAGAAGGGAACCGAAGCAAGGGAAACCCCAAACACTGCATTCTCTTGGCTTCATTCAGCTGTGAGAGGTATGCAGGCCTGCTGCTATGTAAGCCTCACATTTTCTTTTCTTTTATAAAATTTAATAAAAATGGACTAAAAAAAAAGCACTGTGTAAATGACTAACAGGAAATGTAGCAGATTAAAAAAACAATCAAGAAAAAAATTAATAAGTAATATTTTTAAGATCATTAGAAAATAAGATTATATATTTTTAATCCACACCCCCCCCCACACAAATTGCCCTTGATATCTGAAAAGATTAAAAGATTATGAGGCGCACTGATTTGAACCTCTCAGTTAAGATTATAAATTCTGTGACAGAGCAATTCCTTTGATATCAGTCTGTTTTTTATGAATTGCAAGGAAAAGCAGGTGTATAAAAATAAAACCCACATAAAATATAAATTAACATTGTGTGAGTTAATGCCAGCCTTAGGCTACAATAACTTGCATATTTTCGATTTCTAAAAATCTTTCCAGGCTTTTTAAAAAACAGTTTAATTGCTTGCTAATGTATAAAAACTATGCTTTTGTCGGAAGCAGAATCAGCTTTTGGTTACAGAAGGGACGTGCCAACTTGATGTAACAGATTTCAATTCTGACTTTCCTTCTTAATATTTTTATGCCTCTCCTTTCTGATGGGGTGAAATACAACAGTAAGCTGATGGTAATACACCACTTACAACTTTAAAACCACTTACAACTTTAAAAGATTGGGAACGTGCAGGCCTTCTCGCCACACTGTCCTTTTCACTGGTCTCCATTGAACCCTATACATATAGGTTCATTGGTTACAGCAGCAAGGAGGCCTAAGGGAGATTTGTTGGCAGAGATCACAAAAAACAGCCAGTTAACAAACGCTTGCTTTCACTTCCCTCCAAAGCCACCATCACCCTGCTGCAGTGGGATCTCACAGCAAGAGAAGATGAGGGAAGAGTGGCAGGAAGCACGCTGTCTGCCTTGCTCCAGGGGAACCCGCGCCTGATGCCTGCACAAGCTAGTCTGCTGCCCCTGGGGTAAGCTGTCCTCCGGGGCACTAGCTTTTGGGGCATGTGGGTACCCAGCAGCCCCATGTCGAACTGCGGCTGCCATCCCATCTGCCGCCCCCCTGCAGATGACCCAGGTGCCCTTGCGGTGCTCAGCTGAGTCCTTGGTTTTCACCTGCGGCTATGAGGCTGTACAGCACTGCCACCATGTTCCCCTGGGTTTGTCCTTATCCCCAGCGTCTGGTTTCTTCTCCATCCTCCTACCTCCTCTAAGCCTGTCCTCATCTTCCCCTGTTTTTCCATCTTCTCTGCTTGAGACACACCTGTGACATACCTGCTGTTGTTATAATATCAAGCCACTGCCTGGACATGCCAGCTGGCTGACATTGGACTTCCTTGTCCCTTCATATCAAGAGTTGCTTCTGCATGGGAAAAATACTATCCAGAAATACAGCAAACCACTCAGGTTTGCCCCGTCCGCATGACTCGCTGAGCTGGCTCCAACGAGTGCTTGCGCTGGCAGAGGACACCCCTCCACCACGGTGCAGGCATGTACACACCAAACTTTGCCCAGTCAGCCTCTCCTTGCAAAAGCCAACAGGCAGCCGTGCCTTCTGCCACGCACGGGTCCCGTTGCCCCTTCCCCTTCTTTCTCATATGGGGTCGCTCAACAGCCGGTCCTGAGAAGAGGTGACCTGTTGCAGACCTCGAGAGGACGGTAGCTCTCGGAGGCAGGGCAAGGGCCGTGTCCTTCTCCTCATGAGACTGGTGTTATTTATGGCCTGCACCTCCCGGCCCTCCGGTAACCCCTCGGGTCTCAGGAGTGCCTGCCTTTCCTCCTCAGCGAGCCGGAGTTACCTCCTTTCATTGCCAGCCTTGGGGGCTTTGGTGCGAGGGGACCCGGCAGCGCAAGGGGTATTCACCACCCCCATGTATGTACGATGGATATTGCTGGATGCTGCCGCCGCCCAGGAGACTCCCCGGCGTGATTTGTCATAACGAATTTCCTGATGATTTGTCTCCTGAAAACCTGTGTCCCTCAAAATATCACCTCCGGCCCTCGCACCAGCCGGCCGCAGCAGCCGCCCTCCCTCAAGGCCGCCAGCTGAGCCTGAGGACGCCGCCGCGGGCGGTTTTACAGGACACCGCAGGCGCCACCAGTTTCTTTTTTTCTTTTAAGTCCTCACCTGTGATAGTAACAGAGAGATAAGAGAGAACATAAAACTGAAATGGTCTTTTACTTGCAAAATCTGGTTTAACGTTGACTGAAGTATTTTGCAAATGTGCACTGAATTGCTTCGCTAAGTGGGAGGATGAAGGTTTCATTTGGGCGTTTCAGATGAAAGTGGTTTGAAATGGAGATATAGCACAGTTCTTGTTTGAAAATGTTTCAGACGGAAATACATTCGATGTTATTACAAAAAGTTTAAAACTGAAAACAAAACGAAACTTTCTGTTTTGTGTAAAATTGTATTTTCCACAACACAGACTTGTCTTCTTCCAAATTTTGGAAATCAATTGCTCATCTATTTACATATAAGCTAGAGGGAAAAATATGATGGGCATGCGAGAGCGACATTTTGTCTATTTTGTGCTTATAATCATGAAAAACTGCAGCAAATGCAAATGTTTCAAAGAAATGGAAAGGAGGATGATTTTAACAATCACAGCACAGAAATCTAGCTTCTCTTCCTCGCACAATAATAGAACAATAATGGAATAATAGAACAAATACTAAGCAATAAAATCATTAAACATGTAAAAGAAGATGAACCACGCGTTGTAAACAGCTTAATTTTATAAAGAGCAACATTCATCAGACAAACTTAATTCACCATTTGCTTGATTTACTACTTGGGGGCGAGGAGTGATTTTATTCTAGTTTTATTATGTGGGGAATATACGCACGTAATTGCGAAGTCAGAAGATGGGCCTGGGTGTTTACTTTGTGAAACACAGCATCTGGCACAAATCTCATCAGGATGAAGCGGGGGTGGGGGCAAACAAGCCTCCCTCTCCCCCACCCCCCCTAAATCTGCCCGCCTGCGGCCCCCGCTGCTGCTGCCTTGAAATGCGCCGGGCCCGCGGCGGCCACTTTGTGGTGC